AAAAGTGGGGCATAGAGGAGAAACAATAATGTACAGTATGTGGAAAATAATGTGTTTTTTTTTTTTTTACTTTAAACTGCATAAACACATTGCATTACGCCAAATACACCAAATAATGTTCTTTTTAGCAACATCATATGACCCCTTTAAGCTAGTACTCCATATGGACCATAGCCTTAAGGCCTGTTCCCGATAATGACCATAATGATAACGATAACTATGAAGTTTGAATAATCTTTCTAACTCTTTCTAACTCTATGACAATATAGGGAAGTCCGTTGTGGACAGTACGGCTGTAACGATAACTATACCACAGAGAGGAATGATATCAGTGGAATTCATTTCAACAGGATTAAAACAAGACATCCACTCTGCTTTAAAGAGCCTGAGCATTTTAGTGCCCAGATAGCACACGTACGTCTGCAAGATGTCTGTTAAAGATCGCTTCATCTGGAAAGCATCTGCTGTGTACAAACATCTGATAGACGTCTTTAAGATGTCCGTTTTACTTGCATTCTAAATCATAAACATCTTAAAGACATGTTCTAAACGTCTATTTGACATCTTATAGGAAACGTCCTATAGACGTATTGCAGAAGAACAAACACTCTAAAAAATACGTCTTGCAGACATCAAATAGACGTCTACGTGATGTACGTGTGCTATCAAGGTAAAGACATAACTGCAGCGTGCGCTTACAATATAATGTCATTGTCCATTAGTGTGGACGCTAATATTGTTCTTGTGGTGAACGTACCTTTAAGCCACATTTAAACTATATTTAGGCCTATCCACCTTTTGCCTGAAGGGGAAGTCTGGGGCAAGTTCAAGCTCAAACCGGTGCACTACGTTTTGCTACGGTTTCCGGGTTAAATGACATATTCCTAGAAACGGTGTGCAACGGGGTTTGAGATACGTTTTCTCTTGTTTGGTGGGTGTGTCAAACATGTCAGCCCAAGCAGCAGCAACATGTATATAAACCACGCGGTATTAAAGAGACAGCTGGCACAATGTAATTAACATCAAAATAAATTCACAAGAGCAAGTATATTGTTTGCACATTTATTTACATTAAAGGCAAAATAACTGAAATAATAAGAGCACAAGTATAGATCTGGAACTTCTTTAAGTCTGTCTAAATATCATTTAGTAATTGCAATGTCTTCTGGTCCATATCCTTTCCTTAGGAAGGTGTGCTAGACACTGATTAATGTAACATAAAAATACTATACATATTTATATATTTTGCTACTGTATTGTGGAGTGACACTTTCATAAACTTTTCTATACCCCTCTGATTATATAATGGTAAATATTACAATAACATAGCAAAACAACAGTGATCAGCAATAATGATAAGCCTAATACTCACAATAAAAATAATAAGGCCATATAGATTCTAACACAGTCTCGGAGGTAAGAAGTGAAACCTGAAATGTTTCTTTTCATCCTGAAATGCGAGGCAAATGTTGGATCACAATAATTAGGAACCACGGTTTCCACAAATCCATTCACTCAATTGTGATGTTCTCTTTTATTCTGGACGGCAAGGGCAGTGACTGTAACATCGAGTGTATTTTGCAGTATTAAACACGTATTTATACCGATTTCATCAGGCTCCGAAAATTCTTAAAAAAGAACACAAAGAATGGCCTTCTCAGCTGCCATAGTTGCAACTCTTGCGTCATCAGAACAGGGTGTTCAA